TTTGATGACCAATGTTACTTGCATCACTCAAAAATTGTCCACGGAACAACTTTTTAATTAACACTCAAATTTACTCAAACAGACTGGTGTGCTTAGCTGTAAGCCTGCTCTGCAGTCTTAGACTAATCCGCAGACTTTAAATAAACAAATATGTAAATTATATACTGTTTTTTTCTGAATACTAACATTTAAAATACATACCCAACCCTTCCATGTAATTGTCAGACTGAAAATTTTGGCAACATGAAGCTTTTGTTAACATCTGGATTCATCACCTTACAATAACACAATATTTTCAGATATAACTTACTAGGTAATTTTACATAAAGCTATTACATCAGGAGAACCTGTAGATACTGTTGATTAGTCTGTACTGGACGAGAAGTATTTATTGAAAATAACATTCAGGCCAAGTAGCAGCTGGGTCTTCATTCAGTAGTCCCCTCTGTGGTCGGGGATGGGTTTCTAAGGACGTACTGTCCTTTGGCTGTTCTCGTTATGCCTGCAATAAAAACAAAACTACATTTTAGGTATGAGTCACTTAAATTTAGCAGTTTAAACACATAATCGCATTATAATCCTGCTATTTATGTGTTGGATAATTAAATAGCTTGCTCCTTTATGCCAGGGAATAAAGTTTTGAACTATTCCTTTAAACTCTTGGCCCATTTTCACACATTAAGTCTCATCCTGGCAGCTTTCAGCAGGACACTTCCAGTAATCAGACTGACACTGACACTCTCTCACTACTTAAAGTACTCTGTTTGGTTCAGGTGAGAGAGCCGCCCGGGTAGAGCGAGCAGGAGGCAGCACAGTCAGAGCTGTGAAGTCTGGTATGAAAGGACTCACCTCACGTTCTAATCTGGCAGGTCATCAGCTCTCAGGGCAGATCTGGAAATACCCAAGCCTGCAGGAATCCTGTCCGGATACCTGACAGCGAGCTTGTTGTGATTCAGCTCAAAGCCCTGACGAGTGAACACAATACTAGTTTAGTGGGTGGAGGAGTAACCTGGGCACGTGACAAAGTATTCACCAAAATCACAGAGCGACGCGTGACCGGGTGATAAGAGTTACACATCAACGCATTCACAGCATGATCCAGACAGTTTCAGACGACTCAAACAAAAACTAGACAGACACAAGTGTAGAAAAAAAACTGGCCTAAGGAGATTAGGAAAGGGGGCACACATAAAGATGAACCCCTAAAATGCAAAATTCAGGGCTTGAAGCAGGGCAGATTTCTGACCCTGGAGATTGATGCACTTCTTTGCCTGCAGTCTGAATTTTTATTCACCAATGTGGGCCTCTTTTTTTTATTCATATTTAGTTGAATAGATAAATGACAAATTAAAACTCCTTTCATAAATTCAAGGGTTTTTGTAGCTTCGGTGTCTCAGGGAGTTAAAATTTAATGATACATTAAAGAATCTAAAGCGGCCCCGCTTCCTGGATTTCGGCCAGACAGCCATCCTGCAAATTACAACAGCGACTGCCTCTCGGCAACTTCACAAACAGTACTACGGAATTACGACACAGTACCACAATAAAGGATGCACTTACATGAAAACGTCGGATTGCTTCATCACAGTGTTCTTGTTTTGTATAGTTAACAAAGGCACATCGTTTGGCAGTCAAAACCTTGACGCTATAGACGACCCCGACCCTGCAGGACAGGAGTGTGTAAAAAAACAAAACAAAGTTACCATAAAAAGTGTCTCACTACACTACAGCAATGCAGAGCTATTTACTTTTATTACATAACAAACCCTAGAACTCCACTACAGGCTCTTACTTGTTAAACAGGTTTGCAAGCATGGAGTCGGTTACTGGGAAATTCAGGTTTCCCACCCAAACTGGAAACAGCTCCCTGTTGAAAGAAGACACCATTTAAAAAAACAATATACGACCTATGCACAAAGTCTGTTTTGGGATAGCTACACAATAATTTATAATATGCACAGTAAACAGTTTTAAAAAAAAAAAAAAGAGAAAAGCCTAATGACTTTCTGCTCTAATGATTTCCTGGGCTACACCGTCTAATTAAAGGTGAAAGAATACCAATAAAGTACCTTGTCTCTTGACTAATTAAATTTTGCAATTATAAAAACAGATCGAGAATCAGTTTTTGTTTTTTTATTAGCCTTCCTGTCTCGCCACATATACCCACGCTGCTTCTGCTTCATGTAATCAATCCACCTGTTTACACTAGCTGTGGATGAAATGGTGGTTATGAAGTTTGTGAGGCTGTGCCATTTGAGGTCATTATTATCCAAGTGGAAACCAGTAAATCAGCAATAGTAACACAAAGGGCCATTTGAGCTAAAATATCAAACTCCGCTTTTGTTTTTTAGGCATAGATTCAATCCAAGTAGGGCTGCCACAAACAATTTTGATAGTCGACTAGTCACCGATTATTTTTGCGATTAGTCGACTAATCAGATCGTGCATCCATTGGACATAAAACACAGCTTATTGCACCAGCAACATCTGCTCTTATATAACTGTCATTAGCTTACAGCTTTAAGTGTTTAAGGTTTGTGCTAACTAAAAATAAAAACAAGATGACAGTTCATTAAAGTTTAATGAAATTTGCAGATTATTTCGGTGAAGTATAAACTCCTTGCTATCTAAAATATAACAGGACACCGGAGTATATTCTCGAGCATCTCACACTTCTGATAATCAGTTGTCTGCTTAGATTTAGATTAGATTTAAGTATTTATTGTCATTGTCAGAGAACAATGAAATTGCGTTTGGAGCTTCCATACAACCCATAAATACAATAATGAAGAAAATAATAAATACCCCTTAAAACCCAAGTGTAAATATTTAACCCAGTGTGACTCCAGTGCAATAAGACAATCCTTAGCAACAACATAAGAACATGACAAGAAATGTTCATAAGAAATTCAGACAAAGACCTGAGAAACGTGACAAAGTACAACAACAATGCAACCCATTCAATATTATTGTACTGTGAGATATGATGTTAGATACGATAGTTATCTATTTAAGAAAGAGGGGGGGGGGGCAGGAGGGGGGAAAGAGAATAAAAATATGATGCACCAATGCAGACCAGTTCATTGCTATTAAGAAGTTGGATATGGTTATTGTCCATGAGAGGGGGGCAGAGAGTTCAGGAGCCTCGTTTATTAACGTTTAGTAACGTTTATTCAGCTGTGTAAAAACTATAACTTTAATCTCAGCCAAACCGATTTACTCAGGAACAAATAAAATACTAAAAAAAAAGCCAAACAATATAATTTTTAAGTTATCTAAGTCACTTATATATGTTTAACCTCAGTAGCGAAAGACTGCGG